TGAGAGCAGAGATGCAAATTCCACAGCCTTATAACCACACAGGTTTTAATTTGGGTACTCTTTCAGTTTACAGGCTCTGTTTGTTGTACCAGCTGGGTAGAAAGGCTTTTTTGATTGTTGAAATTTTGTGAATTAATCGATGTACTACTGCAAGATGTGGCTAATCACTGGTGTATTTCTTTTGAGTCAAGGCAATGTAGCCGAAGTTTCTTGTCTTGTTTTTTAAGAAATTAGGCTTTGCTGTTGGCTTTTCTCACCTGTATTTTTTTCATTTCTTAAACTATTACTACGTTTACCTGCTCAGTTTTCTTTTTTTAAAGTGTTTATTTGAATTTATGCTGACTTCTCGTTAGTTCTTTACAGTCTTTAATGACTGTATGCAAGTTTATGAAGAGTTAAGCTTTGAAATGCTGTATCTGATATATATTGGTATGTCAGAAAACAAAAGCTGAATATTTATTGAACACACGGAACTCTAAATCACCTATAAAAACCAGTGGGTGTTTGGATAGATCAGGCTCATGCACATCAAAGAGGTGTTTATGCAGTACTCACCTTCGTGCTGCTGTATATTTTTCTACTGGTTGACTAGCTGTGCAGACAAGGATCTATTACAACTATTATGAAATCCAATCAGCAATGGTTTTGAATTTCTGCAAGATTATTATTAGTATGTTTCTGATCATTAGGGCTCCCTCAAAGAGAGTTGATTGAGAATTTTATGAATTCCAATATGGATAAGCTTGGAAGAAGGCACCAAGCCTTAGTGTTACACATTTCTGTAACTGCTGTTGAGCTAGAGGCTTCAAAATAAAAGTCATTCTGAGCTACCAGAAGCCTGATTTTGGTACAAAGAAATAATAAACAATTGACTTCAGTGTTTTTTCTACTGTCTTTCCTTGTGGTGACCATTGTTTGCTGAAAACAGGTCAGAGGAAACAAAATTCATGTGGAAATTGCTTAGAGTCTGAAAATTGCTCAATATTTTGACCATAGTCAGAAAATGTTGTGATCACAGCCCAAACACAGATGTTGCCAGCTGTTTAAGAGCTCTGCTTCTACACGCCACCTACCTTCATTTCAGTTACCAACCCAGTGTCAGGCTCCATAGGAAGGAATGCTGACATCAGCCGTTTGGAACGCGCTGCAGTAACGCCAAAGAACTGACCTTCAGATGCAGCAATAATTGCAGGCTTGCTGTAGGTGGATGTGGAAAGAAATGGGCTGTATCAATAGTCTGCATACATTTCATATAGGTGAAGAAAAATATTGTGTCTCCTTGTGCATTCATTTCACTTCTGCATCTTTGAGAGTTCTGACTGCAGGGAGACGGTCTCGCTTGCCATTCCAGCTGGAGTCAAGCTGCTTGTGTTATGTCTCTCAACACAGATCTGTGAGGACAACAAATTGGGAAGAAATGTGGGGGAAAAAAAGGTTACAGAGCTCAGAACTGTCAGAATTTGATCAGCCTATTCTAGTATGAAGTGGCAGCTGTTTGACTAATAGCTATTATGGAGTTTCGTTGCTGTAGCTGTTGTTACAGATTTCACTTCTAAACTAGTGAGGCCTTTTTCCCACCAGTGAATTAGAAAATGCGAAGATACTTAACAAACTGTTCTTATTGTACTCTCAGAAAATCTTGGTCGTCATAACAATAGAATTCACTAATTATGCTAATACATTTCACAGTTATTTTTCCTCCTCTTCAGATTATCTGTGGCTATTTTATCTACCAGTTGCATTTTCTCATGATATTAGTTTGTCAGCTCTCTGTAGTGGTTGCCATCTTTGCTATAAACATTCATTCTGTTTTAGCACAGCAGGAGGGTTGTACTAAAAATTCCTTGATTTGAACTTCTCTGTTCATTGACACTCAAACATTACCTGTACATCTATTAAAAATGGTTATTTAAGAAGAACATATGTTAGATCCTGAGAAATGTTCAATCTTTCCCAATATGTTGGAGGATTCTTGACTGTTTAAAAAGAAATTTTTATATTTTTATTTGACCTGCAGTATTTCTAGCCTAGTCATATTAATTTGAGTCCCCATAGGAAGATTTCATTTTATACTGATGGAATGTGCTGGTCAGTGAGGTGCCCAAGGTCACCAAATATGTCCTCCCTTCTGGGCCTTTTAGTTGCCAAGATCCAGAGAAAAGGAGAGCACCATAAATTCAGCTTCTTAAACTTGTATTTCCTTTGTTGTTGCTTTTTTTCCTCAATTTAATTCAGAGGCTGAAAAGTTGTGTTCCCCCCCCATCATCTTGCAAGTACTGACAGGTACTTATGATGTGTTCTGCTCAGATATCTGCACAACAGCCATTCAAATGCACAGTGTTAATGGTTTTAATAGCATGGGGCTAATTTTAAAACTTGCCTCTGGAAAATTGCCTGTGATGAGTGTTTTTTGTCAACTGGTGCTCCTGTTGACAGAGCAGTTTTGGAGGTCACAGGCCTTCTGCTTCCCCAGTTCAGGGAGTTACACTGAACAATTGCAAAGGAAGATTTTAATTATAGTCTGAGCAGGTGCAGGATAAATGAACATCCATTGGGTGCAATGAAAGACTTTGGAGGTTCCGTATTGTTTGTCATGAAATCAAACCTTCCACCTGATGTTGCAAAAAGTTGTATTTCACGTGCAGTATCTGCAATGGACAATGTGCCATTGCTGTCAGGATGCAGTGTGTCAGCTGGGTTCTTTTTCTGTTGTTTGTGGGCTTTTTTGAACAGCCAAAGGAAGGGCATTAGAAAAGCATATGATGAGGTCTATAATGTGAGATTCAGGCAGGACAGTACCGAGCTTGAATTAGTGCATCATTTAATGTGAGCTTGCCCTTGGTTTTAAAGAGGAAATATGTGTTGTACATTGAGTTGTATGTTTTATTTCACTTCCCACAGTGGAATTAAAAAACTTTCAATGGAAAATTGTCAAGTTATCACTGTGAATTTCCGTGTGGTCTGGACGGCCTGCCTGGTTGAAGAGGCCAGTGAATGTTTATCGTTTGAATTTACTCAGAATGACTAAAGAAAGACATACTTGAAGCAACAACAGCTTTGAATAATATCCTTTAGCTCGGATTATTGACTTAATTTCCTTTGCTTCAACTAAACATATGAATGAAGTAAAACAAAACAACCAGCTCAGTGTAAATTGTGCGTGTTTATAATTGTAATTGTGCGTGCCTCTGGATGGAAGGCAGACAGCCCAGCTGATAGCTGTATAATGAGCTTTGCTGATCCTGCAGCATCTGCAAGCCATGTAGAACTCGACAGGAGTGAGCCAATGTTCTACAGAAGGGACATGTTTGATAGGAATGCAAGCAGTCGGAGTGCCTGTCTGACTGAAAGGTGATGGAGATCACAGCCTCCCACTGACAGAAACACATCTGGGCTTGTTTAGAAATCCCTGCTGGCTTTTCATGTGAAATAAAGTTCTTTTCATTCTCCCATCCTTCAGCAAATTGTTTTCCTACTCAGAATGGACACTGCAGAACAGGAAACACGAATTTTGTTGATTACAAACGTACAAATTCTGGGTTATTTTCAGTGCCCGATGTTGCCTTCTGTTTGTATTGCTGTATTTCTTTACCCATTTGGCATTGCTTGCATTGTATGCACCTATGTACCTATTTAGCTGGAAGTAAATCCAGATGTTACCTAAGACTTCTAAAAATTTTTCTACAAAGTTTGGTGGAGAGTCACTTGAAAGGAGTTTTATTTACTAATTATTTTTTATTTTCCTGTCCTATTACAAAGACCTATTTTGTGACTTAAAAAAAAATATGTATTCAATGTTATCTTCCCTATTTGCACACACCTAGGAGACAGAAACAGACTGAATATACTTTGTTTTTTCTGAATGTAGTCTGTTTTTCTAAAAAAATTAAATATACTTTTGCAGTTAGATTCAAATATTTTTTGCTATTCTTTGTCTGACATGACACTAGTGAAAAATATCCTGAAAAATGTTGGTTTTATTATGATTATTATTAGTGATTATATAATGTACAACTGGATAAAATAATTGAACATTTAATTGTCTAATATTAAAGTTGTTGAACAAATTGTTTTCCCTCTTCTTCCATGAACTCAGGCAGAGCAAAACTAAACTTCAGGGCATTGTATCTGTAAAACTGTTGATGAATAAATAAATGCATAAGGGAATAATATTTTTTTTCTTTTAAGGATAAAAGTCATTTTGGGTAAGAGTTCATCATTTTCAAGCATTAGAGAATAAAAATGTATTTGTTATTGTTTTGTTTTTTTTTTTAAAGGGCATTTTCCATTTTTTGTGGTCATAGTGTTCCTTCTTAAGCTGGATTTTACAGTATATAATATATATAATAGTGATGATCTCAATGATAGCCTAAGACTCAGTTCTGTAGTCTTGTTAGTTTTACCACTAGAGTTTGAATGGCGTAGTGTTTTGTTAGGGGGAACCTTTGCTGTCAAGTTGCCTGCTCAAAAAAGCATAGCATTGAATACATAATACATAATTTGGTTTGAATGATTTAAGTCAAATAAGTTATTGTTCATCTTTGTGTATGCATGAGTTGCTGAAATTTATCTGTTGTGCTGGATCATGTAGTTGGAATATTTTAGCATGAGAGCCTATGTTGTATAATGTAAAAGACAAAAGTGACCTCATTCTATGCACTTTAATTCCTTTCTTATTGATGAATTTTGCGTTATTGCTTTGTAGGTACTAAGCAAGATGAGATCTAAGAGTTATAATTAATTCTTAAGGTAGTAAACAAATTCAGTCAAAATATAACTATTGTGTATGAAAACCACATTTCAATTTTAAAAATAGCTGTACACTTAGTTTACAAAGAAAATTGTTGTTCTTCTTACAGAAGATAGGATATATGTTTTGCTATAACACATACTTGATGAATTCTTGATACAGTTTGTCAAAGTTTTGAAGCAAATCCCTTTATCTTAGAGGTTGAAAAATCAGATTTTTCTTTTCCACTATGTTGGCTTTGAGAATGGTTAACATCTCTCATATTTATTACTAAACTTATCTTAAATGCAGCATACAGACTAATGCTTTTGACAGTAAATCTCCTCCTGCACTTACAAACTTGCATGCTGCAAGAATCAGTTTCAATATTACATTGCTTTGTCTTTAACCTTAATTTGTATTAAATAGTTGGATCTAATTCTGTTACTTTTAATCACCACATAAGAAAGCCAGAGTTGATACTCAGATGGAAGAAATATGAAACCAAAATGGAAAAGAATATAGGTAGAGTACTCAGGAGGTTAAACTTAGGGAGGAAAATCTGTGCTAAAATTGGTTATTTTAATAGACTAAAGCCATAGTGCAGAAAATATATAATTTTAAAGAGATTTTTCCTATCTGTTCAAAGAAGGATAGGAGGTTTATTAAGTTCTTTCAAGGCAACCCCTCTTGTCATGTGAAAATAAAGCAGATACATTCATGATACAAGTGAAAGAAGCATAAACCTCAAACTTACATCTAGATAGTGTTTCAAAGCCAAGTCAATACTAATGTGTTTTGTGTGTGTATCTTGGGGGTTTTATTGCTTTTGCTTAGAATTTCATAATTTCTCAAATACTACTTTTTGTGCTTATAAAACATGTTGTACTGGGAGATCTAGAGACAGAGGGCCTGTACTTAGCAACAAAACTACATACAGCTCAGACTGCAAAGAATGCCTGTGAAGAAAATGAAGAACATTTTGAGTTGAGGATGTTATTAGCTGTATCTCTTATTGGTGTGTCTACCTTATAAATGTTTACTTCTTGTTGCTGACTGTTGTTCTGCCATTTACTCCTCTGTTGGCCTTCTTTCCCACATGCATATGTGCTTTCCTTTTATATATTTTAAAGAAGGCACTGAAAGTTTACTTAGAGAAAATTCAGGGGAGTGGTTTTCTGTGTATCTTAATCTATTGAGATTGAAGCAAAGTAGCAGATGAAAATAAGAATGCCTTTTTAAAATGATCTTTCTCATTTTCAGTTCCACTTGCTCGTGGGCACTGATGAAGTTAGATGCAAATGCGTTATTTCTGTGCTTGAAAGAAACCAAGCAATGGTCACAGTGACTTTCATATTTGTTCCATTTGTAAGTCTGAGTACAAGCCAGTAAAATGATGTTAATTTAACAGCATATTCTAATGTGTGTCTGAATACTGTACTGTGACCCTTTTTATATTCAGCAACAGTGTGCTATTTATTTCAGGATGATGTGATGATGCCACAGCGGGTTAGACTGCAGTACGAAGCTGCCATTCAACACCCAAACAGTGTGAGTACTTTCTTGTGTACTTTTGTGCTTTTCTTTTACAGAATGCTGGACATATCTTTAAAAGGATATGAAAATTTTGCGGTAGGGCTGGTGGAGGCAAAGCAACACCCAGTGTATTCTTTTCCTTAATTTTTAATCCTTGCACTGAATCGTAACTTTGAACTTCTTCCGTTTTTGTTGTTTAGAAAATCAAATGTCATTATGGCAGTGATATTCTTTTTCAGATAAGTACATGGGTTTCCCTAGTGTATGTAACTTTAAAAAAGGAGAATGGCTTTTTTTTGGTATGACCCTACTAGGTAATGTGAAATGTTACCAAAACATTGGCTACGGATATGCTTTAACTATTTTAAATGTTTAAGAAACTGTGAGGAATGTACGGGTTGTTATCCTTAATAAGCTAACCTACAGTTAAATTGATGTTTTTCCCTATGACTGCAAAAGAAAATGTTAGGTAGAATGCCATTTTATTCTTGTGAAATGAACACTCAAAAATGATCCGTGAGTTAACTGGCTTATGATCTGTGTGGTTTTGATATTAAATTAATTTCTGTTATAAGGACCTTTTGAGAGAATTTGTGTATGATGTTCTCCTTACCTGAAAATAATAAAAATGATTTTCAATGCCAATTACTTTGTTTGTTGATGCTACTGACATAAATTCCCTTATAAACTTGAAGTCTGAATTTGTATTCCTGTCAACAATGTTTGGCAAAAATTAACATAAGTGAAGAAAATTTCATGAGAAAATGTCAGATATTAAAGCAGTGTGCAAGACAGTTCTGGTAAAGAAAAGTCACTTGACCCCTGTCAAAAAGGCATTTTCTGCAGATCTCCTAACAAAATAGGCAATTTTCAGGTTATCGCTGTCTGGGAATTAAATATCTTTCAAACCTTTTCTCCCAGAGACACTTACTTCAAAGTAGAGATTACTGTGGTTGTTTCAGCTAAGAAATGCCTGCCAAACAACCTGCTAGTTAGTGGTGGGATGTGTACCTGCTCATTGGAACACCTGCGTTAGGTCTCTTATGAAATCTGATAACCCTTACGATGTAATTTATGAAATTATAGTTTTAGTAGCACCTGAGAAGCAGCTATGAACATAATAAAAAAATACATGGAAGGTTGTTTTTGTTCTGATATGAATCAGTTAATTTATTTCTGTAGTGAAATGCCAAAAAACTGGAGAGACAAGTTGATCCAGTTGTGGAAACTGGTGTTAAGAGCTGTTCTATTTCTTGCTTGTATGACTTCTGTGTGCATCTACTGAGACGTTTTTAATTAGGCTAATTTCAACTAGACAATTTGTGGTCTATTTAGAAAACACTTCAACTGTTTTGTTTATGTTGTTATAGTTTAGTACCTAACAACATTCAGTGTGAGTTGTTAAATGGGAATCAAGTAAACAGTAAATGAGTGTATGAATAGATGGAGAGTATGTCTTCATTATATGTTTTAACACAGACTTGTTCTTTGCATGCTCTCAGCTAATCTAAAGTTATAGTCCAGTTTTAGGATGGTATTATTTGTCTATTTCTGAAGCTTACTAAAATGGTAAGCTTAAGCCTTAATGAAATGGGTAAGACATACATGTTCCTTGTACAGCAGCCTATCTTATGCATTTCTCTCTCAACCTTCTACTAAATCAGAGGATTTCCATGCAGCTTTGTAGGCAATGACCTTCTTTCTTTTTTTCTTTTAAAATTCTGTTGTTTTTTATTTTCTGTTATTTCCTACCTTACATAATATCTAAATGTAAAGATTTTCCTGTTTTGTGTTCTTGAACCCTAAGAAGGCAAAAATAAATACGTTTGAATTGCAGGCTACATATTTTCTGTGTTACAGGTATAGAAAATATTTGTAATACTTATGTGAAGAATACCTGTTTTCCAGAATTCTAGCTCAAAGACTTGAAAAAAGAGAACGTCTCCAGCTCTTTCTGCTGAGCACATCAGTGTGGTCCAAGGACCCCTGATAGTTCTGTTGTAGCTTCAGCTACCATGAGAAAAGATTTGAGAACATTCTGTCCACAGATGTTCTGACCATAAGTATAGACTGCCTTACCCTGACTTGAAGTCTGGTCAATAAACAGTGGCACCAAAAATATTAAATGCCTTTGCAATGATTTTCCAGCCAGCTGTTGTTCAAAGAAATTGGTGTCTCTCAGCTTGCCCCCAGGAGCAGGTAGCAGAGTAATGCTGCAGCATCTCCTAGCTTTATCATCCAATTTCCTGTATTGGGGACTACTTAATCATGCTTCTAAAAAGACAGAACAAAAATTTCTCTCTACTTTCTTAAGCTATTGTTATCTTCAGAACTTAAAAAAAAAAAAAAGATAATAATAATCCTATATGACAGAGATGTCCTGTTGTTAGAAACATTTATGCTGGAGGATTTGGGATCTGAAAATGCAAATTACAAATACATTATGGTTTTATTAAATGCAGCTTTCTAGAACCACTATCATCCTGATCTCTGGTGAATATACGAATATATTATATTATGTCAAAGTTCTGTTGACAGAGTTTCTATAAACAGAAGACTCTCAGAGGATAGACATTTTTGAGACTTTTGCATATTTTTACCACAAGTCTTAAACTCTGTCTCAGTATAAATACCTACCCTTTTGCAGTTTGGCAGCTGGCTATTGTTAATATAATAGCCACCAACTTATGGCACTACCTATGCATTTAGGTTATGCAGCATGTGCCTTCAAATTGCCTATAAAATCTTGCACAAGTGTTGATTTATCCCTAGAAACAGTATCTATTCCATTTATTGACCTTATTCCATGTATCCAGGATTACTGTCACAGATCATGTATGCTCATTAGTGAGTGAGAAGATTCGAGTCCTGTCTTCTTTAGTTCTGAGAAATTCAAGCAGTGATATCTTATTTTACTTAGTGTTCTTCCGGAGAAAGTCCAACTTTGTGTACATTCTAGTGTTCCCTTAAGTAAAGCTTTTGAGTTTGGAGTAGCCCAAGAAATGTGCTCTTCCAATATGCTTGCCCAAACCACACACACATGCATATAGATATAAAGGATGCAGTCTTTCACACTTACAATCACATTTATTCTTTTACTGAATATAGGCAGAGAAGTCTCTTTTAAGAATTCTCAGGGCTTTTTGTTTCAAGACAGAGGAGATTGTTATCTCAATCTGCTCCCAGGCTGTCTTGTTGCAGAGTGCTCATATCTCAACCTGCTATGGGCATGCCGAGGTGACATGAATGATATGATTTGAATAAAATCTTGAAGAGCTCAAATAGCATTGGAAAACTTCTCATGGATGAGGATTTCCTAGAAATGCATAGGTACCTGGCAATGCTTTGCCAGGCTACTGTGCTACTGTGGCACTTGGAGAACTCTTCCGGTGTTTTGATTTTCCTAAGGATTCTGTATATTGGAGAGGGTAAAGGGATGCTAAAATCAGATATGCTGTTCACACTCAAAATCCACTGACCTTCTCATCTGTCTTAGAGTCATACTAGATGTTTTTCAAGCAGTGGATTGTCTTAGCATGGTGAGGTGTTAACCTTACTCCTCCTCTCACCTCTGTTTTTTTTTTTGAGTATACGTGTACCCCCACAGCACATCTGTGCTCTTCCTGACCGCCTCCTATGTCTTCTCAATAGCTGGCATTACAATGTAGGCAAAGGAAATAGTTATTTCCTTTTCTTTTCACTAGCAGTGAATCTGTACCAGTGTCAGAGTGAAAACCTTTCTTGTTTTAAAAAGATTGCTAGCTCTTTCTCAAACTTGTAGGATACTTAGGCACAAGAGAGAAAATTGAGTGTACCATTTGTATCTTCTCAATAAAAAGTCCTCACTGCTTTGCATTTCTACAGCAAATATTTGGCGTATGCTGTAACTTGGATTGAGGTCAATATCTGTAATGCCTAAGGCAATTTTCACTTATAGCATTATCTGAATCTGTTAAACAACTGACTAAATTGTAAGTATCTTTGGTTAATGTGACCTGAAGGTGGTGGATTGGACTGAGTGAACTGGGACAATTTATGACACACTAGTAGCTCACAGACCTGCTCATCTGCCTCTGGGTAAAGAAATGTTGCACAGTCAGTGAAAGAATCAGAGTACTGAACAAGTGAATGAGGTACCTGAGCTTGGTCCTCTTTTTTAGGCACAACTCCAGGCCATAGCATTGCATGTCTTCTTCACCATCCCCTTTGAATGTCAGAAATTAACTCAACTTAGAAATAAAGTCTTTTTTTTCCTTTTTAAATTTTTCCCACTTTTTTTCCTTTGGTCTGACACATACCTTTCCTGATATTGAAAGTTATATTCTAACAGATAAGGTTTTTGTAGTTGTTGTATATTCTACTCGCCTAGGCCTGTTGCACATTTCTATTACATGTTTGAAAGACCTTTTTCCCTTTTCCACTTTCTTTATCTAACACTCATTCAGCCCTATGCATCTGGTTAGACATCACTAACCTGAATGTTCTTGCAGCAGATAAAAACAATCACTTCATTTTCTTTTGTGCCTAAAAGGATCTGCTTTCATTGCTTATATCAGTCCTTTTAGCTTCCACCTTTTTCATTTGAACTGATATCTGAAATTGCAAGGCTTTCTCAGGAGCAGAGAAGTGTACAATCAAATGAGTAGATCATCTCTTTTAAGTATAATTGAAATGAATAGTTCTAGTGGTAGATAATGTGAAAGAGAACTTTTAATATCAGCATTGTTTGTTTTTATGGTTGTCATAATAATGAGATTTGATTCTTTTTCAAAATACTAAAGGATTACAATGTTTCAAGTATTTTTGCATTAGTAAGAGACGGGGTTTTTATATGTTAATCCATGAGGGCACTGGGAATGGCTTCAAAAATACTGAGGGTTGTTTTGTTCTGATTGTAACAGGATTAAAAGGCATTCTTATATGATCTGTCAGAGAGTCCTATCTTTTAGATGTGGCTCTTTTCCTTGGAAGGAGGGTGGTACTTCTAGGTAGTTTGGCACAGTATCTACACACAT